ACAGACCCGCCGCACCGTCCAACCAGCCTCGCACACACACGCGTGCTCGGGCACACACACACAAACACACACACACACACACACACACACACACACACGCACACAGGGGTGCGTGCACACAAGGGCACAGCACCCCTCAGGCATCCCAGCCCCGCGGCGCCAGCCGTCTCACATCCACGTTCGGCAGCGGCATGTGCACGATCCGGTCAAAGCGGCCGGGGCGGGTGAGGGCCTGCGTGTGTGCGGGGGTGGTGGGGCTGGGCTGGGGCTGGGCAGGCTGAGCACGCGCACGCAGCCGGCTGCGGGCGCTGCCCAGCGCGCGCCCCGAGGCGGCCGCGGAGAAGCCGCCGGGCAGCCGTGGGGAAGCCGCGCGGAGGCCGTGCAGCGGCGCCGCGGGCCCGGCACAGCACAGGCCGGCACAGCGCATGCCAGCAAACAGCACAGCACAGCACAGCATAGCACAGCACAGCACAGCACAGCGCAAGCCGGCAAGGCAATGCCTGCCTGCCTGCCTGCCCGCCCGCCTCCCCTCACCTGGTCCAGCGACGAGGGTCGATTGGTGGCGGCCATGACCACGATACCTGTGTTGTCCTCAAACCCGTCCATCTCTGTCGCGCAAGGGGAAGGATCAACAAATTGTAAATAAAATGAACGGCATGCAAAAAAACGAACTAAGGTAAAAGACAGAGGAAAGCTTTTATCAAGATGAAATCAGAAAAGAAGCGGGAGGAGGCAGGGTTGCGGGTGGCGGGGAGGGTTGGGGAGGGAGGGAGCGGTGGCAGGCCGGCACAGGGAGCAGGCCGCGCCTCTCTCTCAGCCGCGCAGCTGGTGAAGGCGGCCGCCAGCTGCTTGTGGGGCAGCCTGCATCGGCGGCTGGCCCGCCGCGTGCCCAGCCCTGCACTCACCCCGCCCCGCCCACCAGGCCCGCCCTTCCCCACGCGCCCAACCACAGCCGCCGCACACACGCGCGCACAGCCCCACACCACCCGGCACACCGCCCCCACACACGCCACCCACCCGTGAGCAGCTGGTTGATGGTGTGCACGTTTTCGTCGCCGCCGCCGCCGCCGTAGGAGCGGGCCTGGGGGGGGAGGGGAGCGTGTGTGAGTGGGTGTGAGTGGGTGTGTAGGTGTGTGTGGGGGGCGGGGGCGCGCGGGCTAGCACAGGCGCGCGGGCATGGGAGCCATCCTGCGCTCCCTTCCACTGCGATGCGGTCATGCTGCGCGCTATTTCTTTCTGTCTTTCGTTTGTCAATTTCCGACCATGAATTCGAGGATACACTTCCTTAAAGAAAGCAGGCGCACCTGCCCGATGCCGTCAAACTCGTCGATGAAGAGGATGCAGGGGGCCTGCAGGGTGTGTGGGTGTAGGTGTGAGTGTGCTTTGGGTGTGTGTGAGTGAGTGCAGCGGTGGGTGCAGCAGTCACGTGTGCACAGCAGCGGCCGCAGCGGGCGGCCAGGCAGTCGCGCCCCACGCGCGCCGCGGCTCGGCGCCGGCCCCGGCTGCGGAGGCGAGGGCTGCCAGGCCTGGCCAGCCAGGCACGCGGCGGCCCCAGCCACACCTCTGCCCCTGCCCCTGCATGGCCCACTCTCAACAGCAACATACACACCACAAACACACACACACACATCGCCCCCTCCCCCTCGCTCACGTTGGCTCGGGCCTGCTTGAAGATGTCGCGCACCCGCGAGGCGCCCACCCCCACAAACATCTCCATGAACTCGGTGCCGGCTGGAAAGCGGGAAAATAAAGCGGGAAAAGAAAGGAGGTCAGGGGAGGGGAGGGAGGGAGGGAGGGAGGGAGGCGGGCGAGGCGTGGGGGTGCAGCAGCGGCGGCGGCGCCGCGGGTCGACCGTGAGCCGCCAGAAGCGCCCGGTGGGGCTGAGCAGGGGTGCCCCCCCAGCATCTCCCTGCCCGCCCCACCTCTCCACTCCACCCTCCCCTCGCCGCCATACCCCACCCCGCCACGCCCTCCATGCAAGGACCCACAAATCAATGCAGCCATCACCCACCAATGGAAAAGAAGGGCACCCCCGCCTCCCCCGCCACCGCCTTTGCCAGCAGCGTCTTGCCGGTGCCTGCGGGCGGCGGGCAGGGAGGGGGCAGGGGGCGGGGTCTGCGTCGCAACCTCCCCAGCAAATCGCAGCGAGCAAACACAGCAAGAAAAAGCAGGGGCAGGGGCAGGAGGCAGGAACCCTCTCCAGCACCCACAAACAAGCAGCACCCAGCTGGCGCTGATTAGGGCTCCCGGGGCCACACACGCACAGCACCCAGCTGGCTCCCCTCCTCTGTGTGTGCCAAGCTGGGCCCACCTGGCGGCCCCACCAGCAGCATGCCGGCGGGGGAGCGCGCGCCCAGGGACAGGAAGCGGGCTGGGTCCCGAAGGAACTGCACGATCTCGGTGATCTCCTCCTTGACCTGCGGGAGGAAAGCGGGAGGAAAGAAAGGTTTGACCGGGGAGGGGAGGGTTGGCCGGGAGGAAACGATTGGCCACGGAGGAAGGTTTGACCGCGGATGGAAGGTTTGACCGGAGTTGACCGGGCGGGGGTACGGCAGCGGCAGCAGCAGCCGCGGGGCCAGCGCGGGGCACAGGCGCAGGGCCCGCAGCGGGGGCGGCAGCATCCGTCAGGCGGCCAGGTGTTGTGGGTGCTGGCCTCTCCAAAACACGCAGCACCAAGAGGGCAGCGCAGCGCCCAGCGCCCACCTGGTCAATGCCGGCGATGTCCTTGAAGGAGAAGAGGGCGTCTTTGGCCTGCGGTACAGGTGCGGTACGGTACGTTCGGGGCAGTACGCGCGGTGCGCACGGCGCTGCGCTCTCGACGCGCTGGCTGGGTGGGTGGCGTGGCCCAAGGGCAGCAGCGGCAGCAGGGCAGGCAGGGCCCCGCACCCGCAAGCCCGACGCCCCAGCAGCACCCCGCGAACTCCCACACTTCGACCTGCACTTCTCTCTTTCTTTCTGCATTTCTTTCTTTCTTTCTTCGTACTTTCCTCCCTCCCCTTGACCAACCCACCTTGACCATCTCCAGGTTGGCGCCCCCAAAGATCCGGTCCCGCTGCTTCTTCTGCCCCAGCCTGCACGTTTACGTACGCGCGCAAAACACTCAGCAGGCGAGCGCGCACTCAGCAGGCGGCGGCACGCGGCGCCTCAGCCGGATGCTGTTTGAGCGGCGGCGGCCGGCGCGGCCCTGTGGCAGCAGAGCCCGGTCCAGGCAGTGTGCGGTGCAGCCGCGGCGCGGCGCGGCGGCGCCCGGCAAGCCCGCTGCCGCTGGCGGCGGCGGCACCAGCAGCAGGCTGCTGCGCACCCCCCCGCTGCTCATCATTGAACCAAACCGATTCTTCAAAAGCCCAACCGCCGCAGGCAGGGCGCTGGGTGCACCAGCCCGGCCCCCACCCCAGCCCATCCCCACCTGAAGGCGAACTTGATGAGGAGGAAAGAAAAGGCGATGGGGAAGATGAGGCGCGCCAGGGCGTGCAGCATGGGCATGGCCGGGTTGGGGCGTGAGTCCTGGATGTACACGCTGCAGGCGGTACAGGCGGTATGGGTGCGGGGAGGCGGGCGGTACAGGTTGGGGGGTGAGGTGCATGTGGGGAGGATGAGGCACACGCGGGCGCGGCGAGCGGACGGCGGCAGCGGCGGCGCGGGGGGTGGCCCGCAGCAGGCAGCAGGCGGCAGGCCCTGTGCTCGATCGAGCCCTGCTGCAGAGCCATGCGCCACCAGCGCCACCCAGCACCCAGCGCCGCCCAGCACAACAGCGGCCAGGAGACAAGACAGAAAGGAGGGTTCGGAGGGAGGACAGCGGGGCGGCGCCCAGCGCAGCAGGAAGAGAGGAGCGTGCAGGAGGAAAGCACGGGTGAGGGAGGGAAGCGCGGCGCCACCCACCCGTGCTCCACCAGGTGGTCAAACAGGTCTGGATCAAACGGCAGCCCCACCTTCTCTGCAGGAAGAGAGTAAGGCGGGGAGGAAAGCGCGGCGGGGCAGAGGATGAGCAGGGTGGGGAGGGAGGGAGGGAGGAGAGGGCAGGGTGGAGGGAGGCCAGGCGAGAAGAGGAAGGCTGGCTAACAGAGTTGTGGGCCGGTGGGCGGCAGGCGGAGCGGCGCTGCCGCCGCCAAGCTCCCAGCAACCAGCCAGAGATCG